TGTACTACCATTCAGGGTCCCCTTTGGTGGGAACCTGTGGTTTTCTACATGGGCAAGAGAAGAGTCAGCTAAATACCATGTGGATTGCACACTATATTTTTTCTTTACATTTTCCTCCTGAAAAGTTATCAGTGCAGTGGAGTGAGCCCTGCACAGGCCTAGGTCTGGGGTCCCTCACAGATCAATTGGCTGATCAATGGGGTGGGTGTTATTACCATCCTGTCGTGTGAAATTGACCAATACTGATGAAGATCCTAATGTTCGGTACAAGCTGCATAAGCCAATTCAGAAAACTGATTTATTACTCAGAGCACAGAGTACAGAATAAGAATTTAGATGAATAATTATTTAAAATGTATCAATCAATTTTTTTTACCTCTTCTTCTTTTCAAAAGTCCGCATTTCAAACCTTTTCTCCCTGAGAAAGACACCATAAATGTTTCTTGTTTATAACATTGCATTGCAAATAGTAGTGTTTTAAAAAAAACGTCAAAAACATAACTTTTCAGGAACCTGTCTAGAAATTGAAAAAAAAGTCAAATGCCTAGGTCAGGAGTCAGGAACTTTTTCTGTAAAGGGCCAGATAGTAAATACTTAAGGTTTTGTGGTCCATAATCTCTGTTGCAACTACTCAACTTTGCAGTTGTATCATGATAGCATTCATAGATAACATGTAAGTAACATGATGTGGCTGTGACTTTGTTCCAATAAAACTTTATTTACAAAANATAACATGTAAGTAACATGATGTGGCTGTGACTTTGTTCCAATAAAACTTTATTTACAAAAATTGGTGGGCTGTATGTGCCCTATGGAGCATAGTTGGGTGACTACTGGCCTAGACTTAGTTACAAAGATGATCCTCAACTGAGATTTATCCTATATTTCTTTATTAATATCTCCAAATCATTCCAAATAAATTTGGAACACCGTTTTATATGTTTTCCAAGCAACAGGGTGAAAACAAAAATGAAGTTGGACATGTGATAAGTGTTACTGTGTATGTGCCAGGAACAATCCTTTGACCTTTGCCTCTTTAACTTACTTCGTCTTATAACAAATCTATTAAATAGGTACCAATATTATCCCCATTTTACAGATGAGGAAACTGATGCTCAGAGATAAAAATACAAATTAAATAGTGGTATTGAAGATTTCCTTTGGGAAAGTGATAGAGATAAAAAGCAACAGTTTAAGGTCTCAACACAGACCTCATGGTAGCTCTACCGGTTAGTGAGCTGCCACAAACCTAAACTCGAAAGAAGATTTTTTGTATTGAAAATGGTGGGGAAAATGACCAAGGACTTAAAAACTAACCCAATGAAAGCTACTTAAGGGGAATTTGTAGAAATTAAAGTCCAAGGTCTAAGAGTTGTAGAGTTAAAAATAGCACAAAGAATTGACTTAAAAGATCTCAGAAGAACATAGTATCTAATCCATGTGTTGATGGAGTGTGTCCAAAAGAAGAGTGAGTCACTCCGTATTTGAGTTTAGGTCTGCATTATTCAAATGTATTTGTTGAAGTCAGGGATAAAAAGTGGGTGCCCGTCATTTTGTGTCCATGGCTGGCATCAAGGCTGCTGATTTGGGTAGTGCAGGCCCCAGGAGAAAACCTCTTCCAGATACTCCATCGTAAATGCTCTTTCCTTTGAGTTAATTATGACCAGAATAGGTTGGAAAGGAATCTTTTCTTCAATCAAGCACAAAGAAGTCTTGGGCTTGATGATGTTATTTCATTTTTTGGGCCTTTGCCATAATGATTACTTAGAGCATTTTTTAAAACCTCGTCAAGATAAAAATGCCCCATAAGACATAATATACTTCACAAGAGGAATCATATTCCAAGATCAAGCATGTTCTGCCTCACAAGGTGTTACCCTTAAGGAGTTTATTAAGATATTATGGAGGTTCATGGAGAGGAGAGATTACTAAACTCGCATGAAAGAACAATAAGCTTGGCTGCTGACACCACGGGGCTAAGAAAAACAAGTAAAACGGGGAAAACGGAGACTTCAAGGAGGTACATGAAGCTTTCTTAACACTCTTTGCTTATCTCTCAGAAAAACATTGTTCTAGATCGATCATTTCCAAAGAACATGATTGGGCCAAGTATTTGGTGTGCTTGCCAAGGGTCAGAGGTCATCTACACAGGTGTGGCTCTGTGTGGGACTTTCCCTCCTGTCACTCATGATGCTGAAGTGATAGGTGCACCCAGGAAAATTGGCCATCTCTCTCTCTCTCCCTTTCTCTTCTCCCTGTGGTCCCA